GAAAATGGGATAATCCACTCTTAATCAAGATTAGACAAAGCTTTGATATTGTAAGTGTACTCTTGTCAATCTGTCAAGGACAAGAACATGATAAAGACAAATAAATAAGTGAGACTTCTCTCATAGAAAGATGACAAAATAGAAATAACTTGATATATATATATTAAGAAAGAAATTGGAATGGCTATCATCAAAAGCCAAGAAAAATAGAGATCCTTGAAACTAGATTGGAAGCAAGAAAGGAGTTGACAAGAGTGAAGAAGGCTTCACTCTTGTCTCTATATATACTATCTAACTAGAGGCTATGTGGCAACATTCTATAGAACCTCCAATATATGTTGACTTTGTAGGATACATGCCTTGACTTACAAGGCAAGTTTTTTTACATATGGGCCACATAATTAGCTTAGTCTTCAAGCTAACAACATGTGTGGCACATGGCTAACTTGTTGACCACATTTCTAATCCCAAAAAGTCAATTATAGATACCTATAAAGTCAAAGCAGCATCTATGAAGCTTCTATATCAAATACTATAGAATTAACTTACTTTTATCTATTTTTACTTACTTTCATCTATTTATACATGTAATTATTGGCTTACATGCATATGTCCATGACAGTATCCATCAATCAGTTGCAATAATCTCAATTACGCCAAACAATTGAACATTGATGAATTTCAAGTCTTATAGAACACTTGTAAAAATATAGCTATTATGTTGTCTTTGAAAGTTGGAATATTATAAGGAGATTCTTATATAGATTTTTATTCTTATAATTAATATTAATTTTTTATTTAAATATTATTATACTAATTTTACCTAATAATTATAATTTTTGGTACTATAATGAGAATTATTATTCTAAAATTATAAATTTTTTGATTTTTTGAATCATATTTTTGCTAAGAAGAATTAAGAATAAAGTAATTCTTATTTCTTTTCTTTTTTTAAATACTTCACAAAGGCTATTAGAAATTGATAGGCAAAGTCTACCAAAAGAACTTATAGTACCATAATAAAAGATACATATCAACATAAAAATTTATATTTAGACTAATAAAGATAAAAAAGAAGATAAAAAATATTCGAAAGAAAAAAAATCTTTGGAAGAAAGAAAGATCTGCCAAAAAAAAGATTGTATCAAAAAGCTTCAGCTTTATGATAGTAGTAGCAACTTCAATCTAAAATCCAAAAGCATCTAAAATTTACTAATTTTTAAGAATATTTTATATTTATTTTTAGAATAAAATAAAAATATTAAAAAAATTAAATATATTTTCTTTAAAAAATTAAAGTTTTAATTTAAAAGGATAATTTTTGTAAAAAAAAAGATATATAAAAAAAATTTAAAAAAATAATAGATCAACCATTTTGTTTAGAGAATTTGGTGAAAGATATAGCCTTTATAGAAAGAAAGATAGAAGTTATTTTTAGTACAAGAAGATAAAAAAATAAAATTAGAAATAAAAAGAATTGCTAAAATAAATGAGATTTTAGCATGAAGTAAGTTGGAATAAAAAGAAATAAAAGAGCATAGTGAGAGGATTGGGAAAGATACTTAAAATAAGGAACAAAATAAAAATATATTACACCAAAATTAACATTGACAATGACAATAACAATAGAAGATCCAAATTTTACAAAGAATAGATATAATATTGTTTAGAAGAAATAAGCAATAGTTAAAAAATATTGGAACCAACAAAAATTGTAGTATAATAGCTTATAACTAACCTACATAAGAACAAGTCTTAACTACACTATCTAGAAGATAAGATAAAAAAATTGAGAAAATTTTAATAGTTGAAATCTAAATAGAAAAAAAATAATGACAAAAAATTTCAAGAAAGACAACATTCAAGTTAATTCACGCAATATTAAATGAAGTTTATGTATCAAAAAGTTTTAAAAATAACCAAGTAAAAATAGCAATTGTCAATAGATTGGTCATAAAACAAAGACATGAGCCTATTTTAGACTATTCAATTAACTTAGAAAAAAATATAGATTATTAAGATCTAAAAAGCAAAAAAAATCTAAACCAATTAATTAAAGGTGGATTGGAAATATTTGACCTATTTAAAATTTGATAATAAAACATAGCAATCTAGAGCATGTCAAAAATATCCACCTCATATAAGAACCAAACATCCTAATTGGACTAATTTTTAGAGTGTAGAATATAAGACAAACTAAAAATATCTAACTTCTTTAAAAACCACACATCCAAGTTAGATCAATTAAGGCAAAATAATAAGTAGTTGCTAAAGCAAAGACAATTAGCCGCCATAATTAAATAGAAGTAGCATAAGTGTATAATAAGACCAAATTGAAGTGCTTCTTTTTTCTTTTGTTGCTACCATTATTCTATTAAATTGATATCAAATATAATTAACTTGTATAATCTTTATTCTCTATACTATTCCATTCTATTCTTGTCTTGTAGATTTTGAGCAAAATAATACTATGTATAATATAATTTTGAACAAAGTAATATTATTTTCAACTTGTAATTGTGGCTAATGTGGAATTCTTTTCAACTTTAGATTATATTCTTTTTTTATTTATTTTATCAAAATTAGTAGTATTGAGTTGTATTATAGAGTGATACTTGATAAAAGATAATATGATTTGGAGGGATTTGAGTTTGATCATTGAGTCTTAATTAAACTCATAACAAAGTTTAAAAAAAATGCCACATTACAGAATTGGGGATAGATATGTGTCTAGAGTACCAAAGCTTAAACCAAAGATTATATGAAAAGAAGTTTAATTTATAAATCAATTAAATGATATTTTTAATTTTTTTCTTTTATTATTTTTTTATTGTACTAATCTAAGTGATTTTTTTAATATGATATCTTTTTAATTAATATTACATATAAGATTGATAGCCTATTTAATTTATATTATAAAAAATATACTTTAGAATAAAAAAATTAAAAATAATAATCAAAGATACATAGATAGAACAAAGACTTGTAAAAAAAAATTAATAATGTAACTATAATTAAGAAAAAGAAAAAAGAAAAAAGAACTAAAAAAAACTAAAAAAAAATAGAAATTCCACCAATGCATATTAATTGGTGGAATTATTAAAAACCAAGTTTTAATGTTGTTTAAATATAAAAATATTAAGATTAAAAATATATGTTATTATTTAAGTATTTTTTAAGATTTAGAAGATTTTATAAATTAAACGAGTCTAATTAAGTAAAAATTCATTAAACTAAAGTCTTAATTAGTCTTAGAAATAAATACCTTAGTTAATTTGATATATTTTTTAAATTTTAATGATTAGTATTTAGTTATAAAGATTTTATCTTACATGGTGTTAAAATCATATGTATCATATGTATCATATTAAAATATATTAAATACTTATAAATATTAGATAGAAGGTAGAAAAAATACAAAAAAGAAACATCATGGTTTTTTTAATTATATATATAGAATAAACAAATAACTAATTTAAATTTATTTTATTACTAAAATACTTCATAACTGTATACTAAAGTAGCTTTAAAATAATATTATAATCTTTAAAAACTATTACAATTTTTTTAATTATATAAAAAAATAACAATAATAAATAAAGATATTTTACAATCATATTTTCAAGAATTTGGTGAAAATAGTTTTAACACCTTAGAAAGCTATTATAAATAATTGGAGAAATATTTGAGAGCTTAAATATATCCTTGACTAACTAGGTCTTTTTAACACTAAAGTGAATTCAAAATTGCAAAAGAAAACATGTTTTATTAATATAAATCATAGTAATCAACATCCAAAGTAGTACTTGTAAGAAAGAAGATACATATATCCTACATATGTTGTAGCACCTTGGATGTATGTAGGAGGATAAGCCTATGGCCTTTTAGCCCTTATAAGACAACCCACACACTACTTTGTGAGCTTTAGTAAGGCTTAAACACTTATTTATACAAGAAATTTATTCTTCAAGTAAAAAAAAATTATCTTAATTATTTAAACTTATGAACAAAAGATTATGTTAAGATATATACTTAATTTTTAACTCCTAATTTTATATTTTTAACTATAATCTCTATACATTTTTTTATTAAATTCTAAACAAAATAGAAAACAATAAAAAAAGACTTAGTATAAAAAAATCTAAAAGAAAAAAAAGAAATAAATTAAGTATAAATAATTTAAAAAAAGAAAAAAAAAAGAGAAGAATTAGTATGATAATTATTAAAAAAGAAGAAATTAGAAATAGTTATAATGATACGATTTCCATGTATTAAACACATATTTAATTAAACATGACAGTTAAGCCACTTTAGATAGTTATAGCTAATATAGGCTTACTCAGATCAAACAGTGATTAAAAAAACCTCATCGTCATGGCAACTGTAAATACACTCACCCTCATTTTGTAATTTTTCACAATGATTATTATGATTCTAATTAAAAGCAAACAATTCTTTCAACAATTCCATGTCTCATTTCTTACTTACTTAACCATGCATTATGAGTTTAAGATGTAGCTTTAGATCTCTAGAAAGCCAGATAAGATCAACATCAAGTATTTTTATCTCCCAGTAGATGAAGTAAACAGATGAAGTAAATGTGCTTTGGTTGAGGACGATGAATTTCGAAAAATCAAATAGATGCAGCTAAAATAGATCGAGGATATGTTGATGGAAATACACGTAGAAGTATGCATTCCATCACACACTCGGCATTAACTTCATTACTTCTATGTGAATGTCGTCAATAGAGAACTGGAGACATGGAAACACGAACAGTAACGTATTGCGGTATTAAACGTTAAGTGTATCTCATTGTGTTACACGATTCATTCTTACTACTCACGTTCTCGGCTTTTATACTTCCGACGTTATTTAACATGAAATTGTTTTTACGGTCATGATTTCACAGAACCGGATCTGGAATCAGACAATATCCATGAGGGGATGGTTTTTTGTTTGTGAGACAAGATGCAAAAAAGACGTTACCACAAATTATATGCTAACATGTAATATAGGTATCACAGCCATGAAGGTGATAGACTTTCCTTTACGCCTCCGAATGGAGCAAAAGCCATTACTGCACTGTATTTCATACGATAAAACGGCCCATATGGTGCAGCATTTATTTACATACTAAAACTCGTCTTGCAGAAGGCTATCACACACACCTCTCTTCCATTAACAACCGTCTATCATATATTCACGATGGCGCAAAAAACTTTCTAAGCGGATATCGCAATTTCTTTCATCGTCTCCCCGAGCTTGGCGAGGGGCGACGAGTAGGTGGTGATGGCAACCTGGAGAGTTACACTGAGGGACCCGAATTGCACATCTGCGGCGGGCTTCTGGGTGGGGATTTCGGCTATGAGGGCAAACGCGAAGGCGTCTATGGTTGCTTCCAGGGACACCAGCGACAACCTGATGGGCTCGAAGAACGGGATCAAAGTAAGGAGGCCGTGCTTGCCGATCACCACATTGAGCAATGCCTGGTGCACTTGCACGAAGGTCGTCAGGGATTGCACCACGATCTGGGCGTCCGCGTCTGGCAAAGGACTGTTGTAGTTCTTGACGCCACCCTCGTTAATCTTGATCGTGTACTCGGCGATGGCGCTGATGATTTTAGCGAATCCCTCAGCAATCTTGAAGCCCTGGAGAGGAGCATTGATGATGTTGATCAGCTGCACTTCCTTGCGGAGGTTGTCGGACGCAGTGGTGATCTGCTTGAACGCCAGCACGATTTTCTCAGTAGTGTTCATCTCCTGCAGGTTGTTCGATTCCAATATGGGCGACGAGTAGGTGGTGATGGCAACCTGGAGGGTTACACTGAGGGACCCGAATTGCACATCTGCGGCGGGCTTCTGGGTGGGGATTTCGGCTATGAGGGCAAACGCGAAGGCGTCTATGGTTGCTTCCAGGGACACCAGCGACAACCTGATGGGCTCGAAGAACGGGATCAAAGTAAGGAGGCCGTGCTTGCCGATCACCACATTGAGCAATGCCTGGTGCACTTGCACGAAGGTCGTCAGGGATTGCACCACGATCTGGGCGTCCGCGTCTGGCAAAGGACTGTTGTAGTTCTTGACGCCACCCTCGTTAATCTTGATCGTGTACTCGGCGATGGCGCTGATGATTTTAGCGAATCCCTCAGCAATCTTGAAGCCCTGGAGAGGAGCATTGATGATGTTGATCAGCTGCACTTCCTTGCGGAGGTTGTCGGACGCAGTGGTGATCTGCTTGAACGCCAGCACGATTTTCTCAGTAGTGTTCATCTCCTGCAGGTTGTTCGATTCCAATATGGGCGACGAGTAGGTGGTGATGGCAACCTGGAGAGTTATACTGAGGGACCCGAATTGCACATCTGCGGCGGGCTTCTGGGTGGGGATTTCGGCGATGAGGGCAAACGCGAAGGCGTCTATGGTTGCTTCCAGGGACACCAGCGACAACCTGATGGGCTCGAAGAACGGGATCAAAGTAAGGAGGCCGTGCTTGCCGATCACCACATTGAGCAATGCCTGGTGCACCTGCACGAAGGTCGTCAGGGATTGCACGACGAGCTTAGCGTCCGCGTCTGGCAGAGGACTGTTGTCGTTCTTGACGCCACCCTCGTTAATCTTGATCGTGTACTCGGCGATGGCGCTGATGATTTTAGCGAATCCCTCAGCAATCTTGGAACCCTGGAGCGGAGCATTGATGATGTTGATCAACTGCGTTTCCTTGCGGAGGTTGTCGGACGCAGTGGTGATCTGCTTGAAAGCCAGCTGAATTTTCTCGACGTTGCTCATCCCCGCATTGACTGAGTGACATAGTGCCAGAGAGAATATGAAAAGGTACAAGGCCCTGGAGCTGGACGCCATGTTGAAGTGTCGACTATCCCTGCAAAGTCAAGGATCACTGATTGAGCTATTCAATTAGCAACGACAGCAGTCCGCCAGCTGAAGGATTTGGGGCAAAGAACATTGCACAACGAGGGAATGCACACAAAGATCCAACAACACGGGCTGATAGGCTTCCGGCCACATGTCGCGTCCTGCTTACCGCGGAGTCTTCAATTAAATGCGACTGATACCCAGATAGTCTCACTGGATGCTTGAGATGAGCACTGAGATATAGCTATCATCCGGAATGATTTATATACTGCGGAGGGTGGTAACCGGTTATTTGTCCGATTCCACTGCGATTCGCCCCGTCGCACACTGCACATTCCCGTCGAGGTGGAGGACCAGCACCCTTCGATCCCTTATCCATCGACCATGGACGCTTCCGATGCAGCCACTCCCGATTGTGCTCAGGTTTCAGAAAATTTCTGAAACTGCGTTGTCTGAAAAGTTTTGTGTCAGAGGGCGTCCAACGCTTGGACACAATGCGATGGGATTGACTGTCCCATGCAAAACTCGCTTCGCAGGGCTGAGAGCAGGATCAGAGCGGGGGGGGGGGGGGGGCTCCTCCCATGAGAATCACGTTGATGGGGGGATCCAAATTGGCCTGGTTCACCCATGCCAACCTCGTTTGGGGGTGTGGCTGGGGGCTCACCCCTTCGCATTATGAGGTTGTGCCCCCTGGATCGCTCCCGAGAGGCTCTGCTTCGCATGCATGGCCGTGTGCTGACATGGACCCCCCCCTCTCCCCCCGCCATTGAGTTTCCTTGTCGTTGCCTCACGTACGATCTACAAAAATGTCTCCTTCACGAAGTCTATCATCTCCCTCTAAAGATCCTCATGTTTGCCACCTGTTCCTTTATGTAGTCTTTTTAAAAGCAGCAGAATGCTAATCATATACTTTCTTTTATTTTCTTAATAGTAGAACATTGTATAAAAAAAACAATGTGAAATGAGATATTAGAAGAATATTTATTAATTGTGCAATACCTCATTAATCTACTTCTTTTAAAATATTCAACTTCTGTGTATCCTACAATTTCTATAGATATCAATATTCAATAGTATATCATCAAGTTTTAAATATATTACATCAAAATATCTATTTAGTTGCTTATTTAATTTGTTATTATCAACCCTTTTTCTTTTTTTTACTTTGCCAAACTAACATATTATTGAGACACAATACAACACAATACGACATTTTTTTTCCTAAGTTTTGAAAATGTATAAAATAGTATAATATACTTTTAATATCATACTTTTAAACAAAATTAATTAAAAGCCTATGTAGATAAAAATTTAATTAATATTTTTTAAATATTTTTTAAAGAAGATAATAGATTATTACTAATATAATTATCGTAATTTTTACATAAACTCAAATAAATATTTTTATTCAGTAAACTAAAAAAATCTATTTAACAAACACTATTTTCCTAATTATAATTAATTTCATAATTTATATTTTTTATAATAACAATCTTATAACAAAATATTTTGCAAAAAAATATATCTATATACATATACAGAAGAACTATAAATTATGTATGTATGTATGTATGTATATATATATATATATCATAATATGAAATCAATTCATACATTTTTTAAACTAACCTATTGTCAATAGAATACAAATCCTACTTCTGCCATATATTTTTTGCTCTATTTGTAAATCTTTTTTTTTTAATCCAATCTTAGGTTTGTTATACTCAACTTTCAAATCTACTGTGCTCCATTGTCAAATCTATTCTACTCCACTCTCAAAACAACTATGCTGTGTTTCCAAAACTACTCTGCTCTACTCTTAAGTTTATTTTGCTGTAATCAAAGATCTAGAAAGCAAAATAAATCTTGGAATGGAGCATAATAGATTTGAAAGCAAAGTATATTAAACATGAGAGCTAAGTAGAATAGATCTGAGATTAGATTAGAGCAAAGTATATTTGAGAGTAGAGCAAATTGGATTTGGTGGAGGTAGGATCTATATTCTATTTACAACAAGTTATAATAGAATATAAATTGGATTTGGTGGAGGTAGGATCTATATTCTATTTACAATTTATTTTAATATTCTCTCTAATATATATAAATAAAATTAAATAATTTAAAATGGGTAATAAAGTACAGTTACTTTGTTTTATAATTGACTATATATAGACTAATTGATCTTGTAACAAGTTAGATTATGAAAAATTTAATTTATTTATTATACATATAAAAAAATCCATTTACTTACAAACTTAAATTATAAAATTCAATTTATATTCATAATTTGTATAGATTTTTTAAATTTAATCATATAAAATATTCAAAATGTCAAAAGAGAAGCAATTCCTTTAAATCAAGAATTTACAATGGAATAAATCTTAACCAGAAGTACTCAACCAAAATTTGAAAGGCAAAAAGCTTTATTTGCATTTACAGGGTGTGAATTCTAAGGAAGAAATAAAAATTACTGTTTGTTTTCCTTGGACGCGATTGTGAAATGTTTTGATTTAAGCCAAATTGGGTCAGCTCAATGTTTTCCATTGTGCATTAAAATGAAACATTGCTAAATTTAAATATAACTACAGAGTTTTCGGAAGCTTGGCTGAAATATACCAGCCCGACCACTCATGTTTACTTTTAGCAACTTTGTTTGTCCCATTCGGACACTGATCCATTGACTCGGACTAGGGAGCCGGCATCTTCTGCGTCCCTCGCCACCATTAGCCTGGGATAAGTGGTGTGTGTTTTATATTCGATCTATCGTAGCTGGCGCTTACTATACCTCTCGTGTCTGCAAGCTGAACGTGAACTTTCTTTTTACTTAAATTAGTGCGGCTTTCGAGGAGGAGAAAGCTGGGCAGATGCTAAGTTATGGTTCTAGGGCTCTGGCTGGGATACTCTTGGCCTCGTCACTTCATGTCGCAGAAACCTCCCTATTCAATCGACTAGCTCCGCCATCGTGGGCTGTTGTGTATGACAACAAAAAAATATAGTTTGAAAGAAGAGTGATGGGGCATCCCCCTAAACAAACTTCAGCACCCCATGTGAGGAAGGATCAGTGCGGGCCCAAGGAGAAATGGGTTCTGAGTTCCCAAACTGCCCGCCCCCTGGTTCCTCGACGTTCCCTCCCTCTGTTCTCAGTAATCCGATCGGCGGTTGAGATTAATTTTAGCGGAAACTGCGATCCGACGGCCCACGATGGTGGAGCCAGTCGATTGAGAAGGGAGGTTTCTGCGACACATCTCTGCGGTCACCAGAAGAGGATGCTCCTGCGGCCGTGATCAGTTGCTGTCTTGGCAGTGCAATCATGCTTGGCCGGGCAGGGCACCCCATCCCAGCTGCATGTACCTACCGCTATAAGCTATAAGTTCATGAGGTTCTGTTGAGTTCTAGACCCTCAAGCATCCACAGGCTTGCAATCTTAGAGGCTTGTTGGATTATTGCTTCATACGGGAGGAGGGGGAGCAGATGAGGTTGATGCATTCAGACATGACTTGGTGGAGAATTCATTTCGAATTTTATTTTACTAGGTTTTATATATATTTAGAAGTCCGTTTTGATAGATTGTGGTACAAAAGATTTACAAAAATTTATTATTTGGTGAAGAGTTTTTCTTTGGAAGTCTTGGCATTCAAAGATAGTTTAGTGTAAGAAGAGGCCATGAAATTGAAATTATATATATATATATATATATATAAAACTAAATATGGTGATTATATATATAGTATATAATTAAGAGCAACTTTTTGAATTGTTGTAAAAACCAGTTCTTTGAAGTGGACCTATTGCAAACCTAGTTGTTTGACTTGATTTTATACAGTAAAAAAACTTAAAGGATTTTTTTTTTGTTACACTATTGTGATGTGCGTTTTTATTTATTTATTTTTCTTCTTCTATGTGTAGAGTTAAAAGAAGAGTATCTATTTTAATGTACAATGTGGTTTTATCTTGAAAAGAAACTAAAAATATTGTTTAGGACTTTGAATATAACACAACTTGTTTGTCAAAAGAGTATAGATTGGTAATACTATTATAAAAAAGTAAATGTAAAAAATTTTATTTAGAAGATTAAAATATAAAAGGAATTGTATATAATTTTAAAATAATATCAATATATATTTTTTATTTTTTTTCTAAAATTTAATAAAATATTGATTTTTCCGTAGACCCATTTTTTAAATTTTATCATTCTATAGCTTCAAATTCTGATTGTTCTATGATCACATAAAATAATTTTCTAAATTATTTTCTTAACTGAGTTTCTCTCATTTGTTGCTACTTACTTAATTTCTTTCCAATACATTACTTTTTTGCACCACTTATAAACCTTGGCTATTACTTCTTTTATCTTTTTAATGCTTCTTTAATTAATTTCTTTTTCTAATTAATATTTTATTATTTCTAACTATTAATGTTGATAGGCTTCTTTGCTATTCAGTAGATATTCTTGTATAAGTTCTACTTCTTACTTCATCTTACTTCTTGGTGAATAAATACTTCTTTATTCTTGCAAAATATTTAGAATATTTTCTAAAAACATTTTTAGAATTTTAGAAGCTTTGATTTTTAGCTCAATAGAATTATATATATATATATATATATATATATATATATATATAGTAAAATAAATCTATTTTATTATCAATTTCCATTCATTTGTGATTTTGAGTCTAATTTTAATAAGATGCATATATACATATGTTTTTATATGGTTTAAAATTTTATCAATGAATTATATCAATGAAATTTTACCTACTAGAATAATGTTGCATTCATTAAATTATTAAATTTTAAAATACAACATGTTGTAATAAAAAAGAGTCTCTTTAGGCAAATATATGACTTTTAACTATAATTTAGATGTTCTCAGAAACTATGAGAATTTAATAAAGCTCAAATCAATAAAAAAAAAATTATATTGATGGAAACATGAAAATATATAATATATATATATAATATTTAAATTATTATATCTAATATTTTTAATTTTTTAATGTCATATATTTTATTGTTGAAGTATTTTGAAATATCCCTTTTTTATTGTTTACACATCAAATCTCATTTTTAAATCTCATTTTAAAACTTTATAATTAATATTTTTTTATTTAACTTTAAATTACATATAATTGTGTTTATCCTTTGATCTGAATTGTTATATTTGATTGCAACACACTTATTGATCAATATTGCTTAGTTTACTTATAACTAAGATTTTTAAATTTTTCTATATATAAGCACATCATTATTAGTTTTATTTCGATTAATTTTTTTGACACATTTCTTTTATCATCTTATATATCTTAGATTTTCTACCATAATAATTTTT